ACAGCCTATTTGGATTTCACTTAGGATTTTTGGCGTGCGGGCAATGCTCTCTTTCTCTTAAAATTTCCGCTTTTTTGAAGTAATCGGTGAACTCCTGAATTTGTTTGGGGGTTTTCAGGCATCAGCTGCACTGTTTCTTCAAAAGAATTTATCCAAGATTTCGAAGCAGTTGATTACGGACAACGCTATATTCCAGTTTGAACAAGTGACCGTTCGTTTTAATTGATTACCATGGATCAAAACTCTTTCACCTTTATAAATTTAGCTCAAACATGTCTAGAGCTCAGGCCGAAAGTCTGATCTCAAGACTCATAAGCGAAATTAAATCGGAATGTAAAAAATGTGGTCAGCATGTTTCTGATGCACTTGTTGCATTCATGGTTTGCGCAGCTTAGTCTCATCAACCGTTTAGGTGAAAGCTGTAGTAATTAACCCGGATAATAATTTTTCCGTTGATACACCGCTTTCGGAAGCGGACTTGAGCAAACTTCAAGAGGTTTATTTTTATTCCTCATAATTAATTACAGATATGTGTGATGCGCCTGATAGATCACGATTCTCCTACACTGGATGCCATTAAAATGCAGGTGTTCTATGAAACAAATTACTCGACAAGAGGTAATATTGTATTTATCGTAGTATTTACTGATAAGGCATATAATGCTTTTATTTATTAAAACAGACTATTGTCTCAAACGCAGTTGATTAGTTGTTACATGTATATTAAATGTATATATTTTCACGTACGTACGTACATAACGTCATATGACACAACGATCACTGTATATCGTAATCATATGAGTTCCAGCAAAACACTTTTAAGTTGGAACATAAAATATGCAATTTCCTGTTGGAAACTCGCTAATGGTTGTGCAACTAGCAAACTATTGCTTCTTTGTTGACTGCTTCGACCTTAAAATGCCATTTGATCGAATTTCCTGTGATACCGCAATTTGAAGATATATTTGGGACTTTTGTTGAATTATCCAGAACGTAAGTTCAGGATGCGATTGGAGACCGCAATCTGTCTGTCCCTTAAAATATGACTGTCTTCCTTAATAGCTTCGTTTACTTTTTATGAACTTTAAGCCCGTTGATGCTAATAAGTCCTTCAAAATCTAAGCCGTAGAAGCAAATAAAAAAGCATATGTTTAAAAAAAGATCAATGTGCAAAAACCTCATTTGTAAACTGCCCCGACAGAAAACCAAAAGGAGTTCCAAAATATTTGACTTCTTCCTACAGTATGAATGGATGCCAGCCCGAAGTAAATGTTCAGTGACCAGTCTCATAATCTATTGTGTTTGGGTGTAAAAGGACATTTCCTTTATATGTTTGTCCAAGTAAAGTCCGGAGAAAGTATTAGGACCCTCAGAATTTGTTTCTGGGTAGACAGTAAAATAAAATAAAAACTCTATTTGGAACAATACCTTCAGTTTTTGTCGTGATCAACATAAATTCACCTAAAGCTCACCCAACTCATAAATGCTACCAGGTCTACTAGGGCTGCACAAAGACAGAGTTTTCAATCGAAACATGTATTTTTATGATGATTTGAGATTTATTCGCATCAATCATGCAACACGAACACTATTTTGGGCCAGATCTTCTCTGTAGAAAAACGCTCCTACATGGCCTTTTAATGTGCTTCCCCCAATGAAAGGCAACATTCTGCCACAGCTTCTCCTTTTTCATTAAGTCTGTTGATGAAAGGCAGCTGTTTAGTAGCTTTGGGCACATACTAAACGTGCCCTCGTAGCGTTATCTAGCAGTGTCACAGTAGTTAACGTTATCAGTTGTACTGTCATTATAAGTTTTTTGGAATAAAAAGCATCTGATTGCTTCCTAAATTATCTCGTGGTTTTCATGTTGAGGGTTATACGGCGTGATTTTCCTCTCAGATGCCATGCGGATCATGAACTGAGCATTTAAGTTAGTAAGTATATGCAGGGTTTTTGCCTTGTTTGCGGACATGCAGATGAGACTGATTTGCCGTCTTTCTGAAATGTCCTTCTTCTGGTATCACTGGGATTGAGAAAACGTCTTTCGCGTCTTTTGAATTTTGATAAACTTTTAGAGCACAAGCAAATTTTTCAAACTGCATTGGTAAATAGTTTTTACTGAATTTACTAAATTCAATCATAGGACCATGTGAAGCGTTATTTGGACTCCACAAGGGTCGATCTATTAGTAATTTCTTAAATGCTCTATTTAGATGACTACATATTAGAACACAATGAAATCCTGGAAAAACGTCTCGCTCCAATGATTGAACAGATAACGGGCAAAATTTCAAGAACTCAGGAAGGTCTGGAGTCGCTCTACAGACAGATCATTGCTGCAATACTTATAAAATCTGGAATTGGCTCACCAACCAGTATTGCTGTTATTCGAGAAGCGACAGGTGAGATTTTTCGCCAATTACTTTCGCCTATAAGTGATTTGGGAGGTTTGCTGACCAGTTTAAGCTGATAAAGCTTAAGTTAACGCTTGGAAAAGATAAAATTAATCTATTATGGAATTATTTTTAATTGTGGGAGACTACTTGAAAATGCAAACTTTACACGACTGTTAAGCAGTTACATTGTGGCGCATCAACCAAAGCTTATTAATCCGGCGAATTGTGGGCTTTTTACATCTTCTTATGTTTTTTACTCCCACTGATTAGTTTGATTATCAAGCCGAAACATTAGCTACATAAGGTTATTCTCTCTGCGTATCTGACTCGCAGCATCAAAGGCTACATCATTTCACTGGCGAAAGAGATTCCAATTCGCAAAATATAGTGAGCTACGATAACATGAGCTCCTTCCTCCATCCACGCTCATCGGTAGCCAACGGCACTGCGACTGAGCACAATTTCTTAATAAGCCTTTTCACTCTTCCTCTCCCGCCTGCAAGCTACACAAATTCTCGTCGATTAGCGAACATAAGTATGACTTTTTCGTAGAAAGACGTTTAGTACCTTTACGTTCAATGAAGAGTCTCTTTCAAGGACCGACTCGTGCGAGGCTGGAACGACAGTATCCTGCCAAACGAACGCATTTGTAAAAACAGTATCTTTTTACGGACGGGGGTGTGACCTAGCAAAACTGTTTTCACCAAAGGAAGGAGTTCTC